TTTTGCAGAATGATTTTTGCTAAGATTATGCAAGGAGATAATACGCCTAGAGGATCATATATCTGTGAAGTTTCAGAAAGTATGCCTCGTTTTGTAACCTTAAACTGTTTAGAGAGATTTATTGAAAATGTAAGATGATCGCTGTCTATCTGCCAATTTAGTCCTAGCGTTTTGTGCATGTTGTTTTCACCTAACGAGATTGTAGATAGCTTGTTTTCTTTGTCTACGACGTTTGATATGATTGAAGGTTCGTTGGAAGCCCATTTCGCTAACGGCAGACAGCCAGAAAGTAATACGTTATGCAATTTTTGAACGACTGCCTTTGCTTCTTCAACGTTATCGAAACCTGTCAACAAATCATCGACATAAAAATTAGAACGAATGATCCTGGCAACGTCAGGCTGAGATTGTTCACATTCATTCGCGAGTTGCATGAGCGAACGAATTGCTAAGTAAGATGCGGACGACGTGCCATAAGTTAACGTGTTCAACTCGTATGTTTTCATCTCTTCCTTTGGATCCGTTCGCCAAAGTATGCGTTGCAACGGACGATCGCTAGGAGAAACGAGTACCTGCCGGTACATTTTTTGTATATCGGCACATACAACATATGGGTGTTGTCTGAAACGTATGAGTATTGAAAAAAGTTCTTCTTGTACCACCGGGCCTACAGATTGACAATCATTCAATGATAATCCATTGTCTGACTTTATTGAACCGTCAAACACTACGCGTAACTTAGTTGATGTACTGGCCGGCCGGAGAACACCGTGATGTGGCATGTAAAAGGTAGGGCGATCATGCGATGTTTCCTGAATGTTAGTCATGTGACCGAGCTCCTCGTATTCCTGCATGAACGCGCAATAACTCGCCTTAAAGTTTTTGTCTTTTAGAAATCGTTTTTCTAGTGAAATTAAGCGTCGTACCGCGACACTTCGCGATTCTCCTAATTGTTTCGGATCTATTTTGAATGGAATCGACACTACAAAACGTCCATTGTCATCACGTTTGTAGGTTTGAATAAAGTGTTGCTCACAATTAGTTTCATCTTGGCTTGTTGGTGCCTTGTCATCAATTGATTCAAGTTCCCAAAACTTTCTTAACTGCATGTCAATATTGCTAGGTGATTTGACATTACTTAAATTGCATTTTATAGATTTAGGAATCTGTGAGTAGGTCGGGCCGCCTACTATCCAACCTAATTTAGTTTTTTGTAAAACTAAACCTTGCTTATTGATTTCGATTTGCCCTATACATAGTAGTCTCCAAAACCATTCACCCCCGATCAGCATATCGATCCTGCCAGGCATGTGAAATGAAGGGTCTGCTAACGGTAAATGTTTCGGAATTTTTAAATGTTGCACTTCAATAGGCTCTGAAGGCATTTGCTGTTCGATCTCGTCTAATACGAGACAATTTACTTGAAATTCAAAATCGCGTCGTAAAGGGGATAAAGTTATCGAACACATATATTTGATTTTAGAACCCTTGCAGTTCAGAGTGTCTAAGTAATGATTTACTGGAATTTTCTTTAGACCTAGCTCATCACATAAACGATTTGATATGAAACTCGATTGGGAACAAGAATCAAGAGTTGCTCTTACTTGAGTAGAGCCACTAGGTC